GGAATAAGTGGGAGAGAATGTCAAGGACAAACTTCTAAACAGGATGTTTGATGTAATGCTTATGTATGTCCGTGTCTTTTGGTATGTTCATGCTCTGCACAGCATGTAGAGGGACGACCGAAGGCTTAATAGTCTCATTTTAGTTAGGTTGGTGGCCGCTTTAGGCTTGTAAATAAAGGTTGTGTCATGTGGACACGTGTGAGAGATTTTCGGTCTGTAATGGACTATTTTGACCCTTTGTTGTACAACTGTTCAGAGCTTCTAAAGTCTGTTTGTAATTTGCATTGTCTATGAAGTGTTTTCGGAAATGTTTGCTTGTGGATCCCGAGTGAGGCGTTTTCTCTAACCCGTTTTCTCTCTTGTGGGTCCTAAGGGACCATGGGAGGCTTCGGGGAGGCTGACCTTTGCGGATGAACACGCAAGGGTGCCGCATGACTTAGGCAAAATCAGCTAAGTCCGTGACAAAGGAGATCGGAAGTTGTGGGTGTCAACATGCCGATTGGGCAATATATCGAAGGAGAGGACGATGCGCCGAAGGAGAGGACGATGCGCCGAAGGATCAAATGAAGCGCTGGAAGAACCAATGATATGTCGGACAACAGATGATTCGTGCTTTGTAATAATTTGTCTAGATCGAGTTAGTTTATGTTGTAATTGGGTTGGTTTAGAATGTAATTAAGCCAACTCAATTAGGGGCTAACTAGGCGTAAAGTGGGGCTATTTTGGGCCAAGAGAAAGGCTCATTTAGTGACCCAAAAGTTGGGACAAGCGGTGGCACCGCTTGTGGCTCAATCTCCGAGACACAGTCTCCAAGACTGTATGAGGCAATAGTACCATCAGACTGGGCGATGGTACCGCCTAGTGTCATGCAGTGGTATCGCCAACCTCGACGGTGGTACAGCCCAGACATAGTCTCCTAAACTGTGTTTAGCGATGGTACCGTCAGACTGGGTGGTGGTACCGCCCAGTGTCAGTGCTACGGGCGATAGTACTATCCAGCACAGGCGATGGTACCATCAGTATCTCGAAAACCGGGGATGAGACACTTTTAGACTCCAAGTTTGAATATATTGGGACCTATAAATACCCCTCTTATCCTGCTCAGATTACACAAGAACTGAGAACAAAACAAGGAAAAATTATGTTGTAATTTTGTGAGAGTTCTCCTCCTCTAGTCTAAGTGTGATTTCTGTTTAGAGATGAGTGGTGGTGTAAAGGTTCTCTCTTGAGCCTATCAAAAGAAGAATAGAGTTGTAAGGGTAGTTGGTCTTCGCCCATTGAAGGAAGACCGTTAGTAGATGCCGATGGCCTCGGCGGAAGAGGAATCGAGAGTGGACGTAGATCACGACGATCGAACCACTATAAACTCGATTTGCATTTCTATTACAGTCATTTACTTACTTTGCAACTGCTTTACTTCCTCATTACTTTAGCTACACACTCTTACGAACATTTTCAAAGTTAAAACATTATCGAAACGAATTTTATCGTACGAAGATTTCCGACTCAACGTAACTTTTATCGCTGCACTAATTCTCCCCCCCCCCTGCCCCCCTCTTAGTGTCGACTCGATCCTAATAGAGTTGGACCAACTAAAGTTAGCGAAGCTTCAAATCATGATTTCCACTTCCATTTGGCATGATACTGTGATAAAGTCAAATAGCTCATCATATGAAATCTGCAGGATAGCTTACATTTTTCTCCCCTATTAACAGAATTGGATGGTCTCCTATTGTACATCTGATCTTATTTCTTTGCATGGAGTTGCCTCTTGAATTTACAACCGTAGTAAGCTTTACATGCATTGTGAAACAGATCAGCCTTTTAGTTCTATTTATCATATTGTTCAACAGATCATTTCACACTGGAAAGTGGAAACCATTGCATTCTACTTGTTATTCCCAATTTCTGATGCCATTTACAATACCAATGACGTAATAATAACATAAGCAACAATAAATCATTTAAAGACCATAATCCTTTCAAGTCCTTATGAGTTTGTATTTCCAAGCTGTAATGCAGTAACAATCTTATAATTCAACTACAGTAATCAATAAGCTTCTTTCAATATATCACAAATACACATTGTCAAATATGAGAATGGATTTATCCAAGGATGCCATTTCTAGACAAAGACGATGAAAGAATAAAAAATTTGTCCTTGGAGTACCATACAAATCACATGAACCATCTGGTGTGAAAAGATGAGTCAAAATACTTTGACATTTGCTGTACTAGTGAAAATTTCTCCCTTTTTTCCTCCAATTGTGCAACAGATTACTGCTGACCAACTGCAGAAACCAACTAAATTGGCATGGAGCACATGTGAAATAGAATATCACAAATAAGTGCAGTATACTACAAACTGGCATCTGCAATGCATGTATTAGCAAATGAGAATTTAAAGAGTTATCTTCTCATAGTTTATTACTTGTTTGTCCATCCGTTTATAAATGCAAGTATTTGGATGCATTTACAAGCTTATAACACCTTGTTGTCATTTATTATTGCTGTACAAGGCATCAGGGAAGGAAACGTATGACTCTCCAATATGATGGAGTTAAGAAACTACCAAAAAAAAGTTATCAAACTAAAAAATGGACTGATTATGTGTCACCATGTAATCATGTAAAAATGGTATCGAAATGGATATTGAGATTTTTATCAGAAATAAACTAACACAACTTTTGGAGATCAGACTAGGTTTTCATTAATAGAATAATCCACCACTATAAATAAACCTAGTTTGTCATGTCATACCACCCCCATCGAAGACATGTAAAGAACACAAAGATCTAACGTATGCTATTTTTCCCTTTAAAAAAACACTTATGTTTATAGGTAATGTCGTAAGCTGCAGTGCATGTATCTACTAAGAACAACGGGAGAAGATTGTGGGTTGACTTTGTCTCATCTGCTTTTTAAAGTTTAACTAGGCTACACAAGCGTAATCTACTATGAGTCTCCAACTTAAATTCCCAGTAAGATCTTTCTACCATTATCACAACTCACAAGCACATACCTGACCTATAAGAACACATTGATTTTAAGCGAAAAAACTCTTAAACCACTATCGACATTAACATGTGTCTGCATGGTATATAATCAATCATCCCCCTTACGCAGGGCCAAGACAACGATACCACATTCAAATTAATATATTCCACATGCAAAGAAGATGGATACACATTTCCCCCGTAAGTAGCTGAGGATTTGTGAAGTCACATGAGATATATCACGAGCTCTGATCAATAAGCTGCAAGACTACCCAAACTGTATCTACGTTCTGTGATGAATATATTTCCAGCACTACTACGGTCTTCCAGTTTGTTTCCTGGTAACTCGTAAACATCGATCACCGGACCCACAAAATAACCAATTGCAGCACACTAATTCTATGCACGCAAAGAACAATACACATCTGAGATCGAGTCCACAAACCGTTCTAATTAAAGAACTGATCGGAGTAACTTAATCTACACAAAATCATAAAGAAATATCTCTATCAAGGTGCAAATTCCACAACTAGAAATAAGAGGATCCGATAATAGACCCTAGCCGTACCGCATCGGCATCGGTATCCGACCGCAGCGGTGATCCCTCCTCCCCTCTCGCCGTCGCTAGTGGCGCATCCTTCGCCACATCCTCGTCGTAGGGCTCACCGGCAGCGTTCTCCAGCAATTCTAGGGCTTTCCTGCAGTTCTCGAGGGCCCGCCGACTTATGCGGACCTGCTCTTCCTCCGCGCGTGTACGGCGCGGCCTCGCCGGAGGGTTCTCCGGTACGGGAGAGATCAGTGGATGAGCCTCCTCGATCGCACGGCGGGGTGGCGTAGCCGGAGGGGAGCCACCCATCCCCGACGAACCTAGGAAAGTTTGATTCGAGAAGAATTTCATGTCCCGTTTGCGTCGTCGACTCGAGGATATTTATCATCATAGATAGTACGGCTCTCTTAGTCCAACGGGAATGGACCCGCGCGGGCCCCACACATATCGTCCAACCATCACGCGGGCGAGTGTCTGGAAGGAGTAATGCAATTTTTCCACCTGTCAGTTGATCGAGTGAAGCAATGGTCCGTCGATGGGTCCCAACATCGCAGCAGGTAGGTGGGCGGGTCGAGCAGAGATGAACGTCTTGAAGGATTGGACACGTGCTTGTGTGCACGACACGGACAGACTCCTCGGTCCGTGTGGCACGCATCTTTCGTGGCGTCCATGGCTGACTCAAGTGGTAATTGGATGGTTCAGTCAAACAGTCTCGAGTGAAGAGGATGTCTGAAGTATCTATCCTTCCAAATTTTGTAATGTTTATATATATTTCCTCCGGTGATTAATACTTTTCATATACATATTACCAAAAAAAATCAGATTAACCATGACTAGCAAATACCAGCTAATTTAAGTTTAGAAGTATCTGAATATTGATATGATTAATCTTGGTGGTCAACCCAATTTTGCATAATGTGCATTTTTTATGTCAATTCAAGTTGATAAAAATAAACTAAGCCTCTGTGAGCTCCTTCGAGTCATCATTCTTTCCTACTCAAACCTTCATCGTACAACATCCATCCTTAATTAAATATATGACTCATTAGCTAATTTATTGAGCCTATCTAAAAGTTTAAACTCGTTTTTACAAAAATATATTTATCAAAATCTTCTGAGTAAACTCAAGTCATTTTCCGAAGTTAAATTTGAGAATGTTGTAATCATAATTTCTATTAATATCTTAGCGATCGCTCTAGTTCTACATACTGTTATAATTATAATTTCTATTAATATCTCAGTGATCATATTAGCTCTAGTTCTACATACTTAAAAATCCACGTAACCACAATATTCTCATTGTTTTATAAATTTCATGACCAAAGACAATTTTACACCATATTTCCGTTTCTAGTGTCCTCATAGATAATTCTTGCAATAGGCCGCACCCACCCTATAATAGCATTTGGCGATGTCTATCTATATCGGTTAATTTTTTAGTGTAAAAGTTTATAATCATCTACAAACCATATATACATATATATATTTGGGAAACATTTTGTTATTTAATCTTCCGAAACATAAATTATTAAAATTTGAAAAAAAGTAAAACGTAATAGATCAACTAGAGGTTTGGACATGAATTCAACATGCAAAATCTTCTTGAACATAATATTCCTATTGTCTTTTTCATAAATTTCATGATCAAATGTTATTATTCACTCTATTTTGTAGATGGGAATTTTACTTTGTAGATTATTAATGATTTTTGTGCTTGGAAACAATATGTTTGGGAAACATTGTTTTACTTAATATTTTCAGAAACATACACACAAAAAAAAAAAAATTGTAAAAACCATATTAGACACGCATTCTACGTTTTAATTTATTTTGTTATTGTCCAGCTGGTTTACCACGATCCACGGTCCTTCTTTCGTGCTCCCTCTTCCAAAAATAATCTCCCAATATCACCCTTTTCCTATATCTATGAGAACGAATTTATTGATCTTCTAAAAATAATCTTTCATTATTATCTAATTTCTATATATATGACAACCAATTTATTATCCTCTTCCACTATATTAAGCACTCCTCCCTCTCATTTCCACTCTTGTCTCCACCTTTCCTCCTTCCCCTTCTATCAATCTTTCCTTTCCGAGTTCTCAGTTGATCTCTTGCCCAATTCATAAGAAAAAAAAAAAAGAGGGTTTTGTGTTGGAAAATATTACCTTCTGGGATTCGCTGCGGAGGCCGAGATGTTGCGCTGATCGCCCACATCTCCACCGTCCATCATCCCAAGCAGTGCATGATGGAATCGCGGCGCTCCATGAACCTATTGCTCCTCTGCCTCCGATCTCAAAGCACGCGTGTAGCCCTTGTGGGTGGTAACCACACCGCTGCCCGCTTCTGTACCCGCTAATCCGACCCCCGCCTCTCCCCTCCCTCCCTCCCCCCCTCTCTCTCTCCCTCTCCCCCTCTCTCTCTCCCTCTCTCTCTCTCTCT